AAGCAAGCGCTTCTCCACAGCTCTACAGACTGCCCATTTCCTCACTGCCAGTTTCTGCCACACTGAAAAGATAAACTGCTTTGTATGCAGTGAGGATCTTAATGCTCTTGCTTTCATAAAGCTGTTCTTATCCCTCAGGAAGAATCTGAGTATGCTTTACAAACATTGCCAACAGATTTACAAGCTATATATAGAAATCATTTCACTCGTTACTGATGTACAGACATAGGGTGACCACAGCAGCTGTTTGGAATTATATCGTGATATTGCTCAACAAGTTTGGACAGGAAGTAGAGCCACTGTATTGCAAAGAAAGTAGCAGAGGAACTGCTGCATGCACAAAAATTGTGATTTTGGAAGTTCAGTTTGAATGGGATGCTGTTTAGGCATCTGCAGTTAGCCTTCTCTTTCCCAGAGAAGCTTGATAAAACAGGTAACATCTGCCAATGTAAACATTACATTATTTGTAGTGGTATTTGCAAATACTTCATAATTTGCATGTCCAAGTCAGCTAGTTATTAAATTATAAGTGATTATAAAAAGTGCATAGATTTAATTTTTTGTTAATGCTTCAGTCCCAGATAGTTCTCCTGAGTAAATTAGTCAAATCTACAGTTATCATTCAGATACAAAAATTGCTCTATTTCTTCATACACAGACTGCAAGAGAGGTATTACTTCTATATTCAACATTTCCCTGGGTTTTGTCAAGTTTTTTTTAACAGTGCATGTTTATTAAGATTTTTTTTTAAAGTTGATCCCAGAAGTATAAATAAGTGATGTAATTCATAGGGAATTAAATAAAAGCAGCAGCACTAATTGTGTGTATTTCTGTCTATTTTTTAAATAGCCCATATTCATGGCAATGGGAGGTCTGGGCACCATATCCACCATGTGCAGAATGTGCAGACAAAGGCAATAATTTTGCCCAAAGACTCAATCAAATGCTGAGATTTCTACCAAAACCATGAATTTTGATAATGAAATCTAAATACATTTTACACGCCATCAGAGCTACACAGTTCTATCAATCTTATGACTACTAATAATTTACTAATAAATTTTCACAGCTTTTCAGGAGAACCATGAAACACAGGTTCATTGGGGAATAATTCTACTAATCCAAGTATCTCACTGGTGTGAGTGACACTTAAGGGAGCACTTCAGAGAAAAAATCCCTCCCATTGCAGTACATACTTTTAAATATTTATACAGTTACTCGGTGCACTTGCCCATGTACTTCTTTTTTATTTATCCAGCATTTGTCCTGGTAAAGGATCAGGATGGATTACTTTGAAGACCGTTCCATGCTTTTGGAGACAGATGGTGTACTTTTGAATCAAGGTTATTATCTGTAGGGGGCAAAAGAAGCCTCTGAAGAATAGACACCTTGGGTGGGAAGGTGCCAGTTTTAAATAGCACAGCCTAAACAAACAATTTCCAGTGGAAAGGTCAGGGAAAGAACAAGCCAGAATATGGCCATTAAGGCTGAAAAATCACTTTTCTTCATAGCCTTTTCCTGAGCAGAGATCTATCTGTCCTAAGGCTCACAGGAAAAAAAAAAGGGGGGAGGAGGCTCTAAAGAGACTGATTTACAGGCAGAGTACACCAGGGAGGCAAAGCTGGCTACACAGAAGGCACAAAGGTGAGGGCAAGGGCCTGTTGATGAGGTGCATATTAAAGGCAGTGATGGAAAAGCAAAAGAGAGGAGACCTGTTCTACAGAGGGAAGCAATCATGAATTTATGCCACTTTTCTCCACGCAAACCATAGCTAAACAGTTGGATATTTTAGAAGCCTTTTTCTGCCTCAAGAGACAAAAAACCCCCTTTTTCCCTACCCTAAGGTAGGCACATAAGAGCCTGTGGCTTTGTGACTGCGTTTTTCCATGTGTGACTCCTGTACTATCAGCAACAGAATGAGCGCGGGCACAAAGAGCCCGAGCCAGAGAACCGACTGCTGTGGTGTAAAATTGTCCTCCCTTGATGCTCAGAATGATGATTTGCTATGCCAGCTCCCCAGATAGGTAGCCAGTGCATGGAAGTTTTCTGGATGGTACACACGACATTATGGCCCCTACAGGGAATAGGTGGTCCTGTACAGAACTCATGGCTATGGTTTGGTCCTTCACTGAGCTATGAAAACACTCTACAGCTACAAAGTCTTTCTCCCTGGTGCTGCAACAGCTGATGTAACCACTGCTGAATGTCTGGCCCCTTGGAGCACTCATCCGTCTGGTGCAGCTGCTTGTGTCAGATTTTATGAGAAACAGAGACCAAATGATACCTCTGCTTTCAAACATTGTCCCCAAACTGACAGCAGTCCCTACCCCAGAGCATGCCTGAACCAATGCCAGGGCATTTAATTACTTTCAGCCAACGTCACCCATGGGGTGGACATGCCATGGAATTGGGTTGCGGTGGGACACCCAATGAGACACACCCAAATAGCAGAGAAAATTAAATGCCAGCATTGCATGGGTTCAATAATAGTTCAATAATTCAATAAGCAGGAAAAAGAAAAAAAAAGAGTATTTTTTCCTTGCCAATGTCCTTTTCCAGCTGGGGCTGCTGCCTTTGCCTTTTTTCACACAACCACCAGTCCAGAACCAGTTACATGTCATGCACTCACCAGCATGTACTCAACTCCATAAAAGTAGTATTCAGTGGTCTGACTGCCAAACATGGGAGTCAAAAGATTTGTGTTCAATTCCTAGCTGTGCCATAAGCATGACACAGGGTAAACAGCTCCCTTTCTGTGTCTATCTCACCTTATATTCCATTTAAAACAAAGCCTTGCTCCTCCTGCCTTCATTCAGTTCACGGACGCCTTGAAAGCATTAAAGATGCTTCCTCATAATGTTGTACTTTCCTTAGCATCTGGAGGGGAAAAAAGTCTTCAATAAATAAACAACTTCAGTGTTGAAGGACAGAAAAGATTTAAAATAGGATTAGGCCACCTTCTGTAACAGGCTACCAAACAAGAGCCCAGATGTATTGTGTAAAAGAGAAACAATAATATAATGTCCTTTTAGCTTACCTAATGATATTCTAAGGACTAGTCCATTATATCTTAAACACTTGGGGCAATGCTCTGTCCTAGAGCTGAATGCTTTGATGCCACAGGCAATGTAACTATTGCCTGAGGCGTGTATAAAGTCCTAAATATAAACCTTGGCCCACGAACTAAAATTACTAATGGAATTTGGCTTTAGCCTCAGAAAGGGTTTAAAATCTCCTGTCCAAAGCCCTATTTGATCATGTTTCCTTTGCTGGTTGCAGTATACTGTATCAGATATGTGACTATCCAGATTCTTGTGCTGTGGTCACTGTATTCATTAAAACTACCACTATTTAAGGCTTATTATTAGCCTATTTTTCTATTTAGGATTTCCCACGTAGGTTAACGTATCAGGTTATGCAGCACACAAGCATTTAGTATGTCCAGGATGTTTTGGTCAGTGGAGCCTTGACTGTGGACAGCTGTGTTGAGTTCACCGGGCACTCTGTGCTCAGGCCATGCTTGGCGTCACCCTGAGCATCCTACTGTCAGGGGCCTGGCCTAGATGGCAGATACCCAGAAATTTTGTACAAATGACCAAATTCTTCTTTTGCATCCTGGTCAAAATTCCTGGCAAAAAAACCCCTCATAGGACATGTCTGAAAGCCAGATGAATAGTAGCCCTAGAAGCAGCAGCTAAGCCTTGTGTTCAACCTCCTACACATCCCAGATCAGTAATTTTCACTCCTTCCATTTGGTCTTGTAAATCTGTGGTGAGGAGGCACAGTCCCACAAAAGACTGATACAGCTGCCTTCGGAGGTGGAATTTACACATCTGACTGAGGTGTTAGTAAGCTACCTATGACAATGACATCCAGCAAATAAGTTCTGAAGAACAGGGAGAGCCAGTGCAGGGAGCAGGGCAGAAGGATGCTGCAGCATCTTTGGTTTGTGTGAGTGTGTGCATGTGAGGAATAATCTCTTAAATTACATGTTGAGCTAAACTTTGACTATCCACTATGTAATCGTAACATCCACCAACTGAAATATTTTCTTAGTTTAGGGAGGTGTTTGAGGTTTTTTTGCCAAGAAGGAAGGGATGGTAGAACAGTGAAGGGAGTAAGTGCAACCCACTTTTAAGAGAATAATTTGAAGAACATTTAATCAGATGTGTTTTTCTCTAGAGGTGCAGAAGCATACTGCCAAGTGCATCACAGCATGACTGAGGGTGTTGTTTAGTCTGGTCAAGAAGTGATCTGTCAAAACTCTGTAGGAACCATAATTAAAGTTATGACATTGCAACATTTCTCAGCCAAGGGGATATGCTGCTCAATTTTTTCCTGTTTGGTCTGTCCATCAAAATCTACTCTTTCTTCAGAACAGCCTACCTAAAGTCCCTCAAATTTGCCAAGCCTTGAAACATGCAGTACTGGCACACACAGCAGTCATACCTGGGAGCAAACACTTTGCAAATAGCTAAAAATAATCTTTTAAGTGTTTGGAGTCCTATTTTATAATAGGACCATGATCTTCAAAATACAGAATGTGCTATATTTCACGCCAATTACATGACAGAGATGTACATTTAGTGGTTTAATTGTCTTTGCCAAGCTAAATTGGACATGTATTTTCTTTACAGGTAAATTAATACCACAAACTGAGAGCAGCAATTGCATTTATCATCTTCATTGGGAATTCAATCATGGAATTTCTTTTTTTATGCTTTATTCACCTGTATTCCCATTTAGAGTGTACTGTTCCGCATAATTATTATAGTGTCTTTATTCTGATTTTAGCCTATATTTGGATAGTACTGTGTTGTGTTAAAACATGAGCTTTAATGTACTAGTTTTGAAGAAAAAAATTGTTCCCATGAAATAACTATTATCAACAAATACCAGAAGGTTGTGAATGTGTAGGAAACACCAAGCAGCTCTGCAGCTAGTAAAAAACAGTGAGGAGATTAATCAAATTACAGACTGTACGCAGTTGTTTTTAAAAACTATTCTAGATGTATTCCTTTTCCATACAGATCATATTCTTTATATAGGATATAGTTTTTGAGAACTGGTGGAAGTGGAAACTTCTTCATGGCTGACAGATTCTGGAGTCTCCTTAACCCCAAGAGTTTACGTATTTTCAGACGACACAGATGTTTCAATGGGCGAGGATTATCTAAAAAAACCAGTGAGAGATAAAAGGTGGAAAAAACAATGCCATTAACAATGATTGTAAGCCAGTTCACAATCTCAAAACATGCTCTAATAAAACTAATACCAAAATCTATTACCTTGGGGCGTTATTATTTTGCCACTTCTGAGTAAAATACCATTCTTTTCACTTCAGAATTGTGATGATAAACAACACTGATATTAGTCAAACTTATTCTGGCAGATATCTGCTTAACATTATCGTCTCACTTTTGGAAATATGTACACTTTACTCTGTTCCCAAAGCACCCATCTGAACACCTAAACTAGGACTTTATTTAGCATAATCAATGGTAATCAACGAACCTTTCCCTAGGTGCGCCTTTTAAAAATTGCATGTTGAGGCCAGCCACGGCACCTTCCATTTCTCCTGTATCAATAAGGCACCAGGACCAGACCAGAGCTCAGTTTAATTCAGCCTTCCTGAACCTAACAAAAACTTTCAACATACTCAAAATACCAGTATTATACCAATTTACATGTTCCTGTGACACTAACAAAAAGGAGTTCCTCTGCATGCCAGTGTGAAATACTGAAGTAAAGTTAAATACAGGGTACCAGTTTTAAACATAAATATTATGGTTTTAAAATAATATAAAATTAATTTATGCAAAAAGTACATTTAATACATTCGCCAACAGATTTTTTTTAAGATAAGGTGTGTGAAACCTATCTCTGGTGCCACCGATGGTGGAAGGTCCAGGCTAATGTGTAGAACTTCCAAAGTAAAGCATATATAAGAAATATTATTCAGTTACAGTATTAGTAATGGCAACTCTAGATGTCTATCATGTAAATCTGACTTAGGAAATGGTGGTACACAGATTTTGATGACACACTCATTGTTACCACCTACTACCTTGAACATAATGGGATCTAAAACATGCTCTTATGATAATCCTTGAATGATTAATAGACTTGAGAGATCAAGGAAGCAAAAAGAAGGATGGAAGTGCGAGCAATATTCCTCAGTAAACAAGTTGTGCCCCATAGCTGTGCAATGACTGGTGTCACATGGGTTAATAAGTTTGAGAAATGCCTCAGTGGTCTTGCTTAACTAAAATGGCTTCCCCCACAGAGCAGTGACATGCCTTAATGTATCAATTCTCACCAGGTGCGAGTTTGCCATATTCCAGTCCAATTAACTAATGTGGCAATAGGTAAAGATCTGTCTTCATCTGCAAACTAGATGACGGGTACAACCTGGCTCTTAGCTAGTACACATTTGGACTGCTAAAACACTTGGGATGAATGTGACCTGACATAAGCAATTAAAGTCTCCTATAATAAATTATAACATCAGTAACTGGAAGTTAGATATTTACCCAGTATCTGACGTATCTCTGTCCATTCTTTCTGTGTTTCCAAGACAAACTTAATTTTTGTACATAGAGGAACATAATCCATGTAATCTATAAAAACACGAACCACTTTTCCAGCTAAATGTTTCAACCAAGGAACAGCAATAAAGTCACAGAACTGAAAGGGAAAACACACCGAGTCATAAATTCAAAATTTGTGCAAAGGAATGCCAAGATAACACATTTTAAAAAAAATACACAAAGTAATTTAAACAAAGTATTAGCAGAGACCTTGAGCAGTCATAAATTGATGCCTAGGTAGGTTACTTTAAAAGTAATCTTCCATGCTTAACTTCTGGGATCCCTTTCATCTGGACAGCCCTGAATGCCAATAATTATTATAACATTGTTATAATCTGCAGCACTGTTTTATTCGAATGCAGTATCTCTTTGAATACACATCTACTCCATTGGTTAGGACAGGAACAGAAATTCTAGGATTCTGCCTCATGACTTCTTAACATTTTCTTCCTAAATGTCTCATAAATCAACCCTAAACTAAAACCACTCTATGTACATAATTTTCGTTATCTCAGAGTAGAAAATGAAAAAGGCCTGCTTTATTTTTAGCATGTTTTAGAAAAAGATTTTGCCAGTACATTAATCTTAATTCTGCGCAATAATCTGAAATGTTTAAAGCTGGCTAATGAAAAGGGCAAAGGAAGGAAGGTTTGTATTTACTGGATTATCCTTTATCACAGAAGAAGTCCACCCGGGGAGAATCTCTTCCTCTGGAGTTGACCACACAAAAGAATTTCCAAAGATATCTTGATGCATACAGTCAAAACACATCTCCACGTTATATCCGTGGTTGAGCAGCAGCCTCAGCATCACCTCATCATTCAAGGCATACTGAATGGCGCTGGGGAAATGTGTATCATTAACCAACATAAAATAGCAATTGACGTTTGCTCCGTAAGATAGGAGCAGCCTTACAATTTCGTGGTTGCCAGCTCTCACTGCCACAAGAAGACAGTTCAAAGCATCCTTGTTTGGATTTGCCCCTGCTTTGAGCAATATTTCAGTGCAAAGAATGTCATTGTTAGAAACAGCAAAATAAAGTGCGGTTTTCCTTTCGTCATCGTAACTATTTGAAATGTGTTCAGCTAAGAGAGTATTGACATCAAAACCATTTTCAATGAGGAGTTCTAGACACTGTGAATTCTGGCCATCTGCTGCTGAGTGAACAGGGCTTAACCCACTTTTCTGGATTGCAGTTTGGGATGTGACTGGAATGAGGTACTTCAGGGCCCTAAAAAACAGTGAATAAAACTAGTTAGGCATCACTTTCCTACATGAAGAAAATGACCCTCATCCAGCTATATACTAAATTACCAGCTAGACACATTACACAAGATGATGCAAATACAGAAACATCAGTTTTAAGCACTGTCAAACAAGACCTCGTGTTTAAGTTGTTTCAGTAGTTTTCAGTTAGTTCTAAGAAGTATGTTTTGCATTTTGCTATGTTTATGCTAAAAACACTTCAAGTGTTCAAACACATTAAGTTAATTCAAAATAATGTAACTTAGGCATTTCTGAAATAAAAATAATTCATACATTTGCAAGTTTACCACAATCTTCTTCACTGTGACCTTGTACCACTCTGTATCTTGAAGAAAATGTAAAGTCCAAGCTCATACTCACAGGTAATGCCCCTCATAAGCTGCTTTGTGTATGGGAAGCAGTCCTGCCTTATTAGGCACATTTCCACTTCCTCCATATTCCAAAAGAAGGGCTATGCAGTCTGGATTGCCTCCTCCAGCTGCTTCAAACAGTATCGATGCCCCATCATCTGCTAAGGCCTGGACATCTCCACCTTAAAGGAGGATACAGAGTTTATAATTATAACCAAAGTGATTTGCAGAACTTCATAAAAACAATCCCAGAGTATTTTCCTCTTAATTTGCAGTTAAATTCAATTTGCAGAGTTAAGTTAAAATTTTACTAAAAACAAGAAATATTTCTTGTGGCAAACTTAAAACTCAAAGGCAAACCAAGAGTTGTACAGATACAAGTTCAAATGCTCACCTGAGTGAGGTCTGCTTTGACTGTGATATAACTGAGGATTTTAAAAATTCTGGCATATTTAAAAAAGACTTAATTTCATTAATTAATACCAATATAATTATTTAGAAGGAAGGGAGGGGGGGGGAGAGTAAAGAGAAATAAAGGCAAGAAGGGCACATATAACAGTAAGTCCCTCCTTGACTGAAATACATTGGTATCAACTCTGCCTCTCACAAGCATATGGAAACATGTAAGCATCACTCCAGTCTAGCACGAACACTCATCTATGCTTCCTTGCCTTCCAAGAAACCAAATCTTCTCATTCACCATTACTCTTTCTTTCCTTTTCCATGATCACCCTAAAACACCTCAACAACCAGGCAAGATATATGCCAGTGCAGAGGTGTATTTCTCTTTTACCTGACCACACACCTTTATGAATAAGATGCTCCAGCACATCACAGTGACCATATTCAGCAGCAACACCTAATGGTGTTACTCCGTATCCATCCTTAAGGTTCACATTTCCACCATTCTTCAGAAGAAGAGCAACAATGTCTTTGTGTCCCTGTTTTGCAGCTTCGTGCATTGCTGACCAACGTTTTACACATGGCTGGTGGATACGACAGTTGTGTTTAATCAGAGTGTATGCCATTTCAAAAGAACCTCTTCTTATGGCTTAAAGACAGTCAAAAAATAAAGAAAATAATACAATTATATTTTCAGGCATGTTGTCTTGAAAATTAAAGACATCTAATAAGTTTAGAAAAGAAAAAAAAAACAAATAGAAAAAGAAAAAGAAATCTTTTTCTTGTTTACTGAGAGAAGGAAATTTAAAAGATTTCCAGTCCTAGAAACCTGGGAATCCAATTTAGTGGTAAATAAATGGTAATTCCAGCTGCTTGAGGAATCAAGGTAAAACAACACAAGCTGGAAAATATGTCAGTTTGGAGCACGGAGGGCAAAAGCAGCAATGCATCAATTCTCAGAAAGCAGAAGCACGTGTAACTCAAGAAAACAACAATAAAGAGAACATATTTGAATACAGACCTTACTTCTAAAGTTGATGCAAACATTACCATGTACCCAGAAAATTCCACTTGTGACTTTGTCACCTGGTAACTCTAATCCTACTGTCTACTCAGTGGCTGTCATCAGCCAAAGTTCAGTTGACATCCGTCACACTTAAAGGCCACATTCTGCCCTTTTGAGGCTCAAGGTTTGAAATTTTCATAGATAACTAAATGTTCAAATAATTTACATATAAAATAGTGATCCCGAGTAAGAGTCTAATTTCACTTCTGAGCTACTGTTTGGAACAGCAAATCTCTCCACTGACTGGTGGGGGAGCTGGGAGAGATCAGCATCACAGGATGAGCAAATTTAACCTTTGTGAATGTCCCATTACACAAGTAAGAAGGTTTCTTAAGAGGCAACAGTCTTCATAATTATCCACAATTGCTTTGAAGCAGAGTATTACCAAATGTAATTCTGGAAGCAGAATTCATTCCATTAGATACTTCTTCAGCATTTACCTTCGTACAGAAGAGCCTTTTAATCCAGAGCTTTAAAATTAAAAGGAGTAACTAAATCATGAGCCTCATCTATTAAGCTTTAAGCACCTGATCACAAAAAGCGACAGATAGCTGAAAAACCTCATTTTCAGCAGTTTGTATAAAGAAATATTTAGGAAAATATATTGTCCTTATAAGGGAAAAGACCCTTTTTGTAAGCTGTAGTTAACTCTTCGCAAGATTCATTAAAAGCAAAGGCTGAAAATAGCTTCAAAGTTTCACGGCCTTAAAATTATTGAAGAGAGCTGAAACAACACAAAGCAAGATATTGCAGAGGAACACTCTTGAAATGTTTCAGGGCCTTAAAATGTTAATATAGTAATCTTATCTGATGAAAGTTAACGGAAATTCAGAGAACTGAATATTTTAATACTTATAATTGTACTATATATAGTATTAATTTCATAGATTCTCTTAAGAATGGAGATGTTTTGACATTTAACAGAAATTAGATGGTGATACAGCTAAATTATTCATGTATATTAAAGCTCATTTAAGTCTACCAATAGCATAAAATATTCCAAAGGGATAATTTTTCTTTAGATTGGGGTATTACTTAGAAATGCAGCTGAAGCTTATTTTCAGTGCAAGAAGGGAGGAAAATGAGATGTTTGAAACTGCAAATATCTGCCAACTCATGAGTAAGTCATCTGATAAAACTAAAATTCTCCCAAAAACCTCCAGACCTCCAGAAAAAGTACATTCAAGTTAAAGCAACAGCTTATTCTTGTACCATTCTTGTTACCTTAAGATGGTCAAAGAGGACCAGGTTGGTAAGGGTCTTAGAGCACCTGAAGATACAGAGAAGGTGTCTTGAACAAACAAATAGGTCCCATTTTCTTAGAAGCAGCTCAGCAATCACCTAAAGCATAATGAGCGGCTTTAAGAGCAGCCCAGTGATCACTGAAAGCACAATGAGTGCTGAACTGAACGCTCGGTATGTTTCACCAACTGTTGGGCATTTAATTTCCTCTAAAAAGACCAGCATCTAAACAAGCCAGCAGGAGTACCTGGGTGAGTACTTAGCTGAGGGGGAAGTGCTGCCACTCACTTTGCTGAAACCCAAGGAAAGGAGGCAATTACCAATAAGCAGTGGAGTTTCTCCTTTGTCATTTGTGGTATTGGGCCAAACACCCTTTTCCAGCAACGTTCGTACATTATCCACAAAGCCAGCTTTTGCTGCCAAAGTTAATGGTGTTTCTCCATCGCTTGTTTTGTATTCCCACATTGCTTTATAAGATGCTAGAGGTAAGAAAGTGAGAAAAGATAAAACAAAATTAAAGCACAAGGCTGTTAACACATACACATATACATGAAATCCTTAAATGCTAAGTCTTTATGAAAATAATTTGTAATTATGTTTAACTTAACCTAGCTAGTACTGCCAAACAGGCAAACAGGCTAGTACTGCCAAACTGCCAAACAGGCAGTACTAACAGCATTTTTTGCTCTGTCTGTAGACTTCTGAACAAAACATTAAAAGCCAACCGAGTTCTTCGCTGGTGAAAATTGATGCAACTTTCCCAAATGAAAATTTGCCTGAGTATTTAAACAACATAAGCAAGATGCTCCATAGAGGATTTGATCATAGGTTGTTTGAGCACAGGTTGTTGTTGTGGATGGCTGTTTATTGTTCTGTGTTTCTCTGCTGCTCCCCTTATCTTGTGGGTTATTTTTACCTTACTCACCATCTAAAATGATTTCAAGTATTTGCTGAATTGGCTGAGCTGCAGCCTCATGCAGTGGAAACCACCCTCTTTCATCAGCTTCATCCAAAGCATATTTCTGTTTCACAAGTTCTTGGAGCCCAAACACCTGACCTTAAAAAAAATCCATCAGATAAATAAGATGTAGTTGGAAAAATAATACATGGGAACTTCAGATTTGCAAAGGAGCTATTTTATTTTAGGGTTTTTACCTTGCTTTATGGATGTTACAATTTTCCTATTTTCCTCACTAGGTGGTGCAAAACTATCCAGAAAAAAGAGCAGAAAATAGAAAATATAAACAAAAAAATAGATGCATTAAACAATTTATTCAATATTTTCCATTAGGTTCTCATCTAAGCCAACTTTCCTTTGAATACATCAACCACAATCTTGATGAGCCTTGTCCCCTCCTAAGTTACACCTCTGGATGTTCCGGGTATTCAGTTTTTTTTTCCTGCTGCAGGCTGACCTGACACAAGTCTTAATTTGGTAAAGAATTCTGATATGGACTAAAAAGCTGTATTTGCTGCACACTTCAGAAAGGAGCCCTTCAGATTCAGAAACCTTAGGCAGCAAATGAGAAAGTGATGGTGTCAGAATGTCAATATTCACTAATGAAGGAGAGTTTCATTACATCAATGGTATCATTTTTCCCTGAAAAAGAGTTGTAATGTTTTTAACAGTATAATTTAAAACTCCATGAGATAGAAGTTAAATTCTGGTGCCTGCTAGTTCCTTGAAATATTTTGGTGATAAAAGCATATTAAAAAATAGGTAAGATTGAATAAAAAAAATAAATTAAATTAAATTAAAAAAAAAAACAAAAACAAACAACAAACTAAAAACCAGTCAAATAACAAGAGTAACCAGTGGCTCTAATGACAACCTTCAGTGAAAGGGAGATTCCAGTCCTAAAACAGGAGCCCCATGAGGACCCAAACCTTCATGAGAACCCACAGTAAATGAGGAAAGTTTAAGTCTCCCAAGCCTTACAGTTCTACATCTTTCCATTTTAGAGAGTTCAATCTATAAAATGTATTTATGGGATTATTGCCAAAGAACTTCTATTAAGACAAAGTTCAGCTTTGTTTGACACACACACTTTGCATAAGAAGGTAAATGGCCTGAAAAGCTAAGGGAAGTATTCGTTTACTCAAGAGAAAGAGGAGCAACAGTCAAACTAAGAACTGTTTTAAGCATGATATAAAGCAGTAAATATCAGTTTCTCAAAACATTGTTAAAATACGGCATAATCTCTAACACATATTGAACTGACAATACCTGTCATTATAGCTGGAACACACTGGTGGTTTGGGCCCATTTGATTCCTGAATGCTAAGCTGTACAGCATACTCAGTGAGCACATCTTCAACCAAATCTTCTGCTTCATCCATTATTTTTTATAGTGAGCTATAATTATGAGCTGTTTTGAAAAACACACAAAAATACTGCTAAGGGTCATATTTTGTTTAATGTACCTTTTATAATAAAATCAGCTGTTTCCATAAATTTCCTTTAGTAATGTTTTAGTAAGTTCATTCCCATTTAAAAATCATAAAATAAGTTTTAAAAAATATGTTTAAAAATGGTAATAGCAAACAACTCTGTAAACATTTAGTACTAGACATACCATTTAGGAAAAGGTTTTGTTTGTTCACACACTACCTTTGTCATCTACAGACAAATGCTGGATAATCTGTGAACCATAAAAAGAAACTTTTCCTCTTTAGAAAGCCGTGGTCATCAAGTCAGTGAATATAAGATTTCCATACAAGCACGAATAGTGAATAGTAAACAAAGTTATCACCTCATCAATGATTCCTATCACAGAATCACAGAATCACAGAATCA